ACTATTCCTCTCTCAGATAGGTTCCCAGGGGCTAGGTACACTCAGTATGGTGCTGCCCGGGTCCCAGACAGGGAAGACATCCCCGGGGCTGGTGGATCAGGGGAGGAGGTGGTCCTCCATGCTCAAAAGGTGTCACCTGAGCTAAGCCTTGAAGGATTCTAAGAGGCAGACATAAGGTGGGAGAAAATTCCAGGCATGGGTGACAGGGGCTTATCGGAGTGCAGAGAACACAGAGGAGCCCAGTTTGGTGGGAACATAGAATGTGTCAAGGAGTGGGATAAAATAATTATGGAAATGTAGATAATTCCCATGTGTTAAAGGCCTGGCTGAGGAGTTTATATATTACTTAGGCTTAGGGTTTTGGGAGGGCAGGGGGAGGGAAGGATGTCATCTATCACCCCAGTCTGTGGAAGAAAGGAGAGCAAGCTTTGACCTCTTCCTCAGAAAAAGCACCTGAGGGCAGTCCAGTCTTTTGATACCTAACTCAAGATTCTTTCCATTATGCCCAACTACCCTCTTCAGCCCTCCACATAATAGTTAACAGCTAGCATTAAATAGTGGTTTAAGATTTGCATAGTGCTTTACTAATATTACCTCATTTGATTCTCACAACCCTGTGAGGCAGATGCTGTTATCTCCATTTTATTGTTGAGGAAACTGAGGCAGACAGAGGTTGAGTGACTTGCCCAGGATCACACAGCTAAATGTATCTCATTTGATTCCTCACAATACCCCTGGGAAGTAAGTGCTAATATTATCCCCATTTTTTACAGTTGAGGAAACTGAGGCAGAAGTTTAATTGAGATACCCAGGTACTCACAATGAATAAGTAGCTGTGGTCGAATGTGAACTCAAGTCCTCCTGACCATGGGTCCAGTACTCTATCCACTGCACCACCTAGCTGCCAAAAGTAACCTGGTCTTGGATTTAGAAAATCTAAAACTAGGTTTAAATACCAGTTCTGTAACTTATTAGCTGTGAAACCCTGGGCAAGTCCTCTGAGCCTCAGTTTTCCCCTCAGTAAATGGATAGCAATATTTGCATTGTACAACCTACTTCAAAGGCTTTGGAGAAGAAAGTACTTTATAAACCTTAAACATAACATAACTGTGCACTAACTAGGATTAGTTATTATTATTAAAAATATTATTCCAGAGTTCCTTTTCTGGTCTCTTTTGATTTAAAAAGTAACTGATATCCAGCTTAAAAATAAATGCTGCATGACTACATAAATATTACCTATGTCAAATTGCTTTCCTTCTCAATGAGGGAGTGAGGAGGGAGGGAGAGAATTTGGGACTCAATTTTAAAAACGAATGTTGGAAATCGTTTTTACATGTAATTGGGGAAAAATAAAATACTAATTTTTTAAAAAGAATAAATGCAGCACTCCATAGAACATAAATGCAGTTTAAAAATATGTTGATAGAAATGAAATGTAGGAGGTTCTATCTTAGATGGCTAAATGTTTTTTGTTGTTGTCATTTTTAAATTTAGTCACCTCTAACATATACCCATCACCAAAAACTAACATCCCAAGAAGGAAGAGAATACTAAGTAGCTTTAACATACACCTCACCCATGCAGTTACTCCCTCTTTCTCCCCAGTGGTAGGCAGATTAAGGGACCACAACTAATAACAGGAAATTGGGAATAATGGAGAGGGTGGAGAATAAGGAAGACTAGACTGTAGCCCATAAAGGTCATATCCAGATCCCTGACCTGAATTTAAATAACCTCCCTCAGCCTCAGTTTCCTCTTCTGCACAATGGGGATACTAGTAGTACCCACCTCACCAGGAGGATTAAACAAGATAATAATGTGAAGCAAACTCTAAAGTACTATATAAAAGATAGTTATTACCTATTATTATAATCTGATCATCATTTAAAGGCCTTCACAGCCTTACTCCTTCCAAGTCTTTCTACACATTACAATGGCCTTTCTATTCTCCATAGGAAACTCCTGTCACCCCATGCCTGGAATGCCTTCTCTCCCTCAGCTTTCTTCAGGACTCAACTCAAATTCCATCCTCTTCGGGGCTTTCCAAGTTCTCTCCCCAAGCCCCTTTCCATCTGCAGTGCCCACCTTCCATTTATACTGCCTATACCTTGTATGCACAGTTATATTCCCCTATCAGAACATGAATTTCTTAAGGGCCAGGCTTCCCCCCACCCCATTCTTTACATCCCCAGCATTGAGCACAATGACTTGCACAAAGTAAATGCTTCATTAATGCTCGTTGACTGACCTCCCTAAGATGGCATTTAAAATCCCAGCCTACACACTCCCACTTAGAGTATTGGGTCTGCCCCTTCAAGAGTTCTAAGCTCCAAACCCCACACTTGTGGCTGACTCCTTCCTTCCTTCTTCCATCACCCTCTGCTATGAGGCCTGTCCAGTCCAGCAACTTGTTGGGGAGGAGGAAGGGGACAAACCAAACACAGAGAGACAGAGACAGACAGAGAAAGACAGACAGACAAACAGAGTGAGAGTGATGTTTCTTTTTCCTACTCCAACTCTTCAGTTTGATAGATGGGAAAACAGAAACTGAATTTAACAGACTGGAGGTTTGAACTCAGGTCTTGATTCCAACTCCAAAGCTATTTTTGTTTTGTTTTGTTTTCCTTTCCCATACATTACACTCATTCTTACAGCACACACAGGATGGCAGGGGGCAGATTCAGAGAGAGCTGTGTTTAGTAACCAGGGACTGCACTCAGAGCCAACAAGAAAGCTACTACTTTACCATCCAAACCTCCCTTCCTCAGTAGTCCCCACCCCCACGGCCACAAGTATCACCCACGGTCAACACGGAGGACACAGGAGCCACACGGGGTCACTCACTGGAGCCAGGTTTCTGGGGTGTGGGTTCTAAGGGGGTGGCACGTCATCACTGTAGAATTACGGTTCTCCAATAGTGGCCTGGCAGGCGTGGGATGGGAAGCAGACAGACGGGTTTGGGTTTGGGTTTGGAGCAGGCTAACCGGCTCAGGCACAGCTGCCTGCTAAGGAGGCTGCCCCTCAGCCCTACGGGGGAAGAAATGGGGAGGAGCTCCTTCGGGCAGCCCATTCCCCTCCCTCTGGGGATCAAGTCCCAAAGGGGATGTCCCATCATTGGCTTGTAGCTTCATTTATACTATGGTAGCAAAGGGGTCCCAACACAGTCATAACAGATTTTCCCCACGACTGAAAAGATAAGAAGAAAGGACCATAATGTGTCCTGTCGATAACTAGGAAGAAATAGAGACTCTATCCCCCAACCAAGGAAGCTGGAAAGCAAGAACTCTAATGCTTCTGACCTTCCTTCCATGGCTGTTCCATGGTCAGCTAAGAAAAAGATTTGCTGCATCATAACCCTGGCACCGTGGGAGGAAACTAAGGCACAGCCTGGCCACCAGTCAGATAGAGGCAACAGAACTCAAAAATCTAAGACTCCCAAGCCCCTCTTCCCTACCACAAAACATCTTTGGAGGCTAGAGATCATCTCTAAGCTCTGGGTGTGGCTGCAAAGGAGACACCCCGAATGCCAGAGTTTTTGTCTGGCTGCCTCCTCCCCAAGGTGGAACAGAGCCAAAGACAGATAAAAGCTGAAGTGGCACAAGCCTCACACGTTGACAGGGAACTAGTCTTGATACTGGCTCCATACCCACAGCTCATCCTGGTGAAAATTTAGCCTCTAGCTAGGACTCCCCTGAGGGCAGAGGTTAGGGATCCCGGCAACCACAGAGAAGAAATAAAGGATCCACCCGGGTCTTGGAAAGTGTAAGACCTGAATTCAAATTCCCAATTATCATATTTTTTAGCTATACAACCCTTCCAGGAAATTCATGTGATTTACATGTCTCAGTTTCCTCAAATGTAGCTTTGTTTACACTAATTTATTTTATACTAGGATAATCAATTAATAAGCATTGGTTAAATGCTTCCTGTGTTCCAAGTATGGGATAACAACACTTGCATTAACCACAACTCCTTCGAAGGACTGTTGAGTAGAATGTTTTGTTAACCTTAAAAAACAAGAGAAATGTGAGCTATTCAACTCTTGTGACCGTGGGCCTCATCTGCAGTCTCACCTAGACCCAAGGAAGATTCTCACCCTCTATACCCACCACCCTTCCACCTACTTCTCATCCTTTTCCCCACGGGCCAATAATAATGAGGTTCCTGTCATAGGGGGGTGGGTAGTAGAGGGCAGGTGCTACATTCATACCTCTGGCCCACATGGCAAAGTTACAGGCTAAGTTTTCTGCTTTCTGAGCAAATCACATTTGGACTTAACTGCTCTTTTCCTCTCCCTGAATGAGGTGTTCAGTTAAGCATTACCTCACAGAGTCCTGAAGATACCAGGTGCTTGCTTGTCCAAACCTACTTCTCCCTACCATAGGAAGGGCAAGAATCTCCTCTGCAAACTTTAAAGCACTATAGAAATGTGAGTTATTATTATTATTATTGAAGTTCTTTCAACCCATACTGGCTTGGCCTTAAGTCCCATTACTTTGAATATGCTCTAGCAACTAGCTCCAAAGAGGACTGCTTACAAACTGATACTTATCACCACTCTCACATAAAAGAGAATATCCTCCATAAGACCCCTTGAAGGGGAAGTGAGAAGGGGGAAGAAGGTTAGCACTCTCTGGTCCTTTTGCCCAATCCGAGACAAAGTGAAATGCATTCCTATGAAACATACAGAACAGAGGGCTGTGTGACCATCTCTTGACTTTGTGGATTATACACATGGCCTACTTACATTGGCCTTCCCCATATGCGTTGTGCAAATGGTCCAAGATTCATCAGGCAATTACTGAGTATCTTTCACCCCCCAATCTTAACCAGTAGTGGAAGATAAAGAGAGAAACCAAATAAAAAAACATATCAGGGTCAGAGTTGAGATCCTTGACCTTATATGACCACAGGCTTCTTCCCACTGGCTCTAAGAACCCCACCAACAAAGGGACCCAGGTGTCAACTTAGAAGTGAAATGTAGGTAATGCCCCTACCTGCAGCCTTCTGTCGCCTTGCCCCTGAAGGATGTGGGGAGAGAGGGGTGTGGGGAAGAATGTCCCCAAATCACACTAGCTTCCAGGTTCCCCAAAAAGTGGTGAGAGAAGAGGGTCAAACAGGATACGCTCTGCTTCTGGACTCCAATGCCGAAACTCTCCCTGACTCATACGCGCTTCTGCTTCCCACCCTCCTCCGCTACATTCTATGGTCCCCAGCAGGCAGGCCCCGTCACACACACACCTCTCCCCAGAAAGTTGGCTCACCACCTCCTTCTCCTCCTTCGCCTCCTTATCCTATGCCCCTCCGGAGTGGCCTCTGCGCCCTGAGGAAGGCCCTGTCCCTCCCTGTGCCCCTTCCTCTCGAAATAAGTTTCCTGGATGGAGTATCTCACCTCTCCCTCCTGCACCCCCGGCCTCCAATTTGCCTCTTGCACCCCGAACCGACCTTCTCCTTCAGGTCCCCCGGGTCCTACCAGTCGGGCTCCCCCAAGCAGTTCTAACCCTCTCCAGATATGCTGGGTCACTTCCTCCCTTCTGTGTTTGCCCGAGCCCCCTCTAAACCGCTCAGCTGGCCTCCCCCCAAACTGCCCTGCCTGTTTGCCTGAGCTCCTCCCCAGCAGCACCCCCTGCTCCCTGGAGCTCCCCTCAAACCAACCCGCTGGCTCCTCGGGGCTCCCCCTAAACCACTCTCCCTGCTCGCTAGAGCTGCCCCCTACCTCCTGCTCCACCAGCTGTCTCTGCAGACCTGCTCCTTCGCCCCGCTCCTGCACCCCGGCTCTGGCCTCCCCGCGCTCCTGGACTGCGGGGCTTCCTCCCCCCTTCTCCTGATGCTGCTTCCTAGGACCCAAGCCCACCTCCTGTACCGCCGGCCAGCTGCCGGAGCGGCCCCAAAGCGGCAGGCTCGTGCACCCCCGGGGGGCGTCCGCAGAGCCAGCGCTGCCCCTCGCGCTCGGCCTGCGGCCGCCGCGCACTCCCTGCTCCTGCACCCCCGCGCCCACCCCGCCCTGTTCCTGCACCCCCGGGCTCACGCCCCCCTGCTCCTGCACGCTGGGCCTCAGCCCCCACCTCTGCTGTGGCTCCCAGCTGAGCAGCCCGCGCCGGCTGAGCCGCGGCTGCTCTGGCACCGCCGCGCTCAGCCCCTCCGCGGTCGGGAGCCCTCCCCACGGGGCCCGGGGCGCCCTGCCCTCCTCAGGCCGCGCTGTCCCCCTGCTCCTGATGGTGATGCTGGGGAGGCCTCCAGCCCGCCGGGGCAGCCCCGCACTCCCGGGCTCAGCCCGCGGAGCCCCTTCCTCCTCCTCTGCCTTCTCCTCCTCCCGGGCTGCAGAGCCTGCCCCCGCCCCCTACCGCGCCCGCGCGCCTGTCGCTGGCCCCGCGCGCTCCGCCGCCGGCCCGGGGCTCGCGCCCCCGCCTGCCCCCGCAGGTGCTGCTACCGCCTAGCCAGGGCAGGGCGGGAGGAGGTGGGGCCGGGGGAGGGAGCTGCCGCGTGCGCGCCCGTGCGTGCCCGGGACGAGGCTGGACGGCCCTCGCTCTTAAAGGGCCAGGCGCCGGCGCGAGTCCCCCTGCGCAGAGGCGGGGTGCGTGCGCCTCCTTCCCGGGAAGAGAGTGCGGGGCTGGCACGAGCCACCCCGGGGGGAGGGATGCGCTGTAGTGCCCGAGGGTGGGGATGGGCGCGTGTGGGGCCGTGTAGCGGAGTGACGGGGGCGCGCTGGGCACTGGATACCCCATCTCGGGGCCTCAGTTTCCTCATCTGTCAAAAGGGATTGAACGAGAGCAGGGGTCCAGGATAACCATTTCTGTGCCATGGACCCCTTTAACAACAATAATAGTAGTAGTAGTAGTAATACTGATAACCATTTTTTCTGTGCCGTGGACCCCTTTAATAATAATAGGAATAGTAGTAGCATAGCTGTGTGGCCCTGGTCAAGTCACTTAACCCCGATTGCCTCACCAAAAAGTAAAAAAAAAAAAAAATAGTAGCAGTACTAATGATAATCATCATCATCATCATCATCATCATCATCTTTTCATGCCATGGACCCTTTTAATAAAAATAGTAATAGTAGTAATAATAATAACCACCTTTTCTGTCTCATGGACCCCTTTAATAATAATAGTAATAGTAGTAGTAATAATAATGATGATAATAATAATAGCCATCTTTTCTGTGTCGTGGACCCCTTTAATTGTCATCATTTTTTCTGTGATGAGGAAGAAGAGGAGGAGAAAGAGAAGAAAAAGAAGTTTTTTTATACTATGGATCCCTTTAATAATAATAACAATAACAACATTTAACTAGTGCTTGTATTTGTTATATATTTGTGTGCCACATATATATTGTGTTATATATATATGTGTGCCATTTATATGTGCCACACACTATGTTAAATGCTTTACAATTATGTCATTTGATCCTCACAACAACCATTTGTCAGTCTGATGAAGACTGTGGACTCCTCCAATTAATGTTTCTGTTTTATGGGTTTTTTATTTATTTAAATTCATAATGAAAGAAAATGCAGTTAGAGGTTAGCGAAAATAAAGATGTAATTTTTCCCTCAGCCAAGTCCAGGAGACCTAAGATTAAGAACCCTGAACTAAGAATCATAGAATACTTAGAGCTCGTCTACCCCTTTTGCAAATGACTATAATCATAGATTTAGAAATGGATGGAGCCTTTGAGAGCATCATATCCAATCATTTCAAAACTTTACGTAGTGATTCCCACCTTTTAAACAAAAAAAAGTCACCATTACCCCCCTACGTTTTGTAAAATAATCTACACAGATAATTTTATTATCTCACATTTATTGAAATTAAATTAAGAATTTATTATGATTTTAAAATAACTCAAAGCATATTTTTAAAATACAATAAAATAATGCAACAGACATTAAGCGTTTAAAAAATCTATTACAATTTTCATATTTATAATAGCTAACAAGATGAAGCTTGATGTTGTCAATAGGGAGCCTGCTTCCATGCCAGGAAGACTTGGAGTATGTCTTTCCCCTAGCGTGTATCCCACAGATATATGTGTGACCATGAGCAAGTTACCTAACCTTTCAGTGCCCGAGGCTACTTTCTTTTACTGTAAGTTTCAGAGAAGGTGTTGACTTTTCTTTATTCACCTGCAAGTTCTCTATAATGATGAAATCACAGGTCCAATCTCAATCCCTAATGTGGATTAAATAATGATATTTAATATGATGGGCAGGCTTGTCTGTCAGGGCAAAGTTTCCAAAATGTTGCCATTGATGATATTGCTACTCCTAATTTCATTAACCATTAATTGAGATCTATATTTTGTCTTTATAGACAGATGAAGCAGAAAAACCCCATTTCATACATAGGGAATAAAAATTAGTAAAAGCTTTATCATTTGATTCAATAAACTAATGAATTCTTTACCTGTAGCTAAAATATAAGATATCTAGATTCAAATAATAGTTTCAAAGTACTATAACAAGACAGATCTATTAATTAGTCTCCAACAGATGCAGGAAGAACACATGTATCATATTTGTTATTGGCAAATGGATTCCTTTCCTGTTCTTATTTGGACATATCAAGGTCTTTAAAATAAGATGAGGATTGCATCTATACACTGGTGAGGTGTTATTAAAATTGGGAAACAAAAATATTATTTTGCAAATTTTTTATCCTTAGATCTTTTCCATAAATGCTGTCATTTTTTTCCTGAATCAGAGTATGACTTTTTAAATATCATATTTTTTTTTTTAGGGTCAACTAAACTGTTTCCCTTTAGCAATTAGACAGTAGACTCAATTAACTAAGAAAAGGCATTTACTCAACTGACGTGTCAAAAACAGTAAATACAAAAATGTTCCTCTCAAACCCTGGATTGCACACTCCACAAATACACATGGAAACTGCTGCAGGGGTGGTGAGTGGCCAGTCTTAAAGTGCAATCAATAGTACAGGTGTGTAGGGAACATGTGTTGCCAAGGCAACTCACAACTGTGGAACAGCTGGGCCCCAATGTACTTTCTTTCCCAGGAGTGTCCTCATGAGTTTCTCATATCTCAGCTGGAATAGAGGATCCATTATCAAGTTGGTATAAGTAGGCCTTTCAGCTGGCTAGGCTACTGTGCCACACCAGATAGAGCTCTTCCCAGGGGATGGCATCTCTGCTAATCAACTTAACTTCCTGGGCTTGGTCTTCAAAGGGAAGCTGTAGTCTCCACTTCTGACTTAGCTGGGTATTACTGGACTCTCTTTAACTAGGTTGCTTTTTTTTCTTTTTTAGGAAGGGTAGCCACCCTTGGTCTAGGATTGACAAAAATTCTTCATCAACAATTCCCCTGAGGCCTTTGGCTCTGAGGATTGTCACCTCCAGGCAGGAAGAGGGAAAAGTCTAGTCTTTCCTGTTTAATAATTCTTTATGGTTCAAAGAATTTTTCCTTCGTGAAGAAGTCTACCCTTACTTATGGTGATCATACAGTTACATTTCCCAGTTTCCTGTTGGGGGATTAGGTAGATGAGTGTCTGGGATAAAAGTTTAGAGGCAGTCCGTGCCCTGGAGCAAGTTCATTGTCATTATTAGCCTCTAGAGGAATGTTTCCTTTATATTCTATTGTCTCTCTGTTCGCCTCTTCCAACATTCAGCTTTTCTGGAGTCCAAAGGAGTTACATCATTACATCAAAAATAATTACATATATACTCTTTGTTCATATATCTTGACATAGGTGATTGTCTGTGAAAGATGCAATGTGTACAAATTACAGGAGAAAACACGTTTTAACTAGCATTTGTAGACTCTGACATCAATGGACCTCCAGAGTCCAATATACTTTTCCCACATTATATAATTTCCATTTTAATGTAGAAGAATTGGTTCTTGAAAGCCCAGGACCAAATCACAGAAAAGAAATGCTGCCACAGCAACAGATAGTGGCTCACACCTGAAGTTCCTACTGTTGGAGAGGCTGAGGCTAGTGCATTGCTTGAGTTCATGAGTTCTGAACTGCAACAGGGCTAAAACCAATTGAGTGTCTACACTGTCGGGCACCAACATGGAGAACCCCCAGGAAGAGACAGTTGATTGCAGGAGTCAACCAATGTTGCCTAAGGAGGGTGAACTGGCCTGAGTCAGAAATGGAGCAGGCCAAAGCTTCCAAGCTAGTTAGGAGGGTCAGGCCCACAAATGGCCAATGTACTTCCAGGCTGAGGAAGATAGGAAGCCCTAGTCTCAGGGGGAAAAAATGCAGCCAAATCAGATGATCCCTTTATGAGGTCGCTCATAAAAAACAAACAGGTCCCGCAAGTGAATCAGAAAGGAGCAATGTCATTGGATAAACAATGATTGAACAAGCTCTCCAGTAACCCGTAAAAGATACAATTCAGTCATTTAGAGAGAGTTGAGGAAGGATCCATCATTTGGGGGAAGAATGCAATCCCACCTCCTTGGAGGAGAAGGGAGTTATCTTTCCCTCCTCTCATATTTACCATGGCATCCAGCAGTGGAACCACTCCCACAGAAGAAGACGCCCCATCCAGCAGTTGAAGAG